TCGTAGGAAACTAGTTATTTTGCGCTAGAATGGTATTTAGAAACTATAGTCAAGCTGTCGTTGAAAACTATAAGACATAATAACACACACACTCTGGCTTAGCTATTTCGCGTCTTTTCAGTCTTAAATGTGAAAAGTAATTTTCCGTCATCCGTTTTCCGCTTTAATTCACCACTTTTACGGAAGCGTGTACGTGTATCTATGACGTCATGAAAAGTGTAAGCAAAGTCAAAGTTCGGAAATAGAAAGCTTCGTACATTATGATGCAAAAGTAAAAAGATATTGTGGCTCAGGAAAGGATTGGGAAACATTTAAAAGGATTCATAGCCATTATCCAAATATGCTTAGAAAAAATACGCAAAACAATCCCATAAAATTATCGTAATGCTGGAGCCGCGCGTCGCGCTAAAAATGAACTTAAGCGCTATAGAGATGTCCATTTACGGAAAATGTACTTAGGTTTGATGCTTACCTTTTCTTGCAAAGCATTAACTTACTAAAGATTATCGAGACATGATGTACACCATTTCCTGTGTAGAAATGTCTATTTTCTCTCTACTTTTGCCAAGAACTAGTTTAAACACGCTTATTTTATATCTTTGTATTTTGAAACAGCGTTTCCATTGAAAGAAACAGTGAGAGGACTCGTGTAGAAATTATTGAAGGTTTTTTCAACAGTTGAATTTATGTAATTTTTTACCTAATAAGCTACGTGTCATCTAAAACCGTTGTAGCTACTTAGCCGTTATTTTTAATTACTTGAAGACAGCTATAACAATCAATAATTTTTACCGTTTGCAATGTACATAGTTACAAACATGGAATAGGCATTAGACACATGTACTAAGCAAGACTATATTTATGATACTCCATTGAAGGATGATAAGTGACAAGATATCTCACAATTCATCTTGAGGGAATTTTTTCAAGTCGTTTTCCGTTATCATGTTGAAATTATCATTCAATGGCACATCGTTGATAATTACTTGCGTTTGGCAAATTTTTTTCCTTATCAACTTCTTCACAATATTTTTTCACGCACAGAGGCGAGAAAATACCAGTGCTGGTGTCAAATAACCGGGGGAAAAAAAGCGAACCAAGTAAGGTCGGTCATTAAACTGTTGTTTGACAGTTTATGAAAGATAAAATAAGATTATAGGAGCACTAAAGTCTGAAAACACAACAACGAAGGGCTTGATTATGTGGAGGTGAGCTGGACCGGATAGCGAATAGCCTCAGACAGTATATAAACTACAGCATTACATGAACACATAATTACATGAGAGCGCATTACAATATATATAAAAGTTAAGTGTAATAATGTAGCCGAGAGTAGCTAAATGAGATGAATATTTTGACTTGTTTTCATGTTTTCATTGATTTGTGTTGTTATTATAAACACGCGATTTTTCGCGCGCCGTAGTTTCCCCAGCCGGTTAGCCATATATCATGTCGATAAAAGCTTTCTCGTCCAGCGGGCTAGCTCGCCTTCTTATATAATCAGGCTCTAAGTGTTTTCACTTCGCCGCTATTTGCTTGCGAGACTGTGTAAGACGAAGCTTAATTTATCGTCCGAACTTTGACATTGTTAACATTTTCAATGACGTTATAGGCACTAAAAGTGGTGAATTAAAAAAAACATCAAAGGCAAATCAAATCTAAAGTTCGTTTTTCTCGTGTCCATTTAATTTAGTTCAATTGCGCGGAGAGACATGCACAAGTGCAACTCTTCACGACTGTTCACGACGAGTATTTATCAGAATGCTCACAGAATAGTATTCTGCAATAGACGTTTCATTATAGACATTCTGAAATCTATTACGTGCTGTTGACATAAGAGAGTAAGTTTGTTTATATTTCTTTAAACGACATTATGGCTAATGTTTCTTTTAATTTGCACCATTCGTATTTTTGTAAAGTTATTTGTTGTGGGAAATCATGCCGACGTGAGGTATATATTAAATACAATAGATACAAACATCTTAACTATGGATATCATCACCGTTGTACTGTCTCAATTACCTCGATTATTACAATACATTGATGGCATCATTAAGGGCTCTTTTCCCCTCATCGCAAAATGCTCTCGCTGCGAGCTTGCGAGTCTGTTAAATCAGTTGAGCAAAAAATTTTGTTCAACTAATTTAACTATGCTACAATTCATTGTCAGCTCGCTGCGAGTAACTCGCAGGCACTCGCAGCGAGCTTGCGAGTACGTTTTGCGATGAGTGGAAAAGAGCCTTAAGTCAGTTAAAAGTTGAAACATGTCTATTTTATAAAAATTGCTCATTTTAGGGATTTGCTTACGTAAGCAAAAAGTAAGAAACTCCTTTCTGTCAAGTCAAGTGACCCAGCCATTGGGTTTTATGCATTGCCAATAGACATGGAATTCAGACACAGCTGCATAGTTGATGCAGGAGTGCTCAGAAGTGTGCTCTGAAGAGTGCATCCTTTATATGGTCAAATATTTTTCTAACTTGGACGAGTCATTGCAATGCGTCACTGGAATTTGCTTTCTTGGAAGAAGCCAATCACTAATCTTTTATAAGTTATAACATATTTGTGAAAGTGCAAAACTAGGGTATGTGACAACAGAAAATATGTCTAATAGTAATGCATTTAACAAGAATACATTGATTGCCTTGTGTTAAGGGATTTGAAAGAAACATCGGCTGTGGCTCTTAAATTTTAACAAAATTAAATGCTGAATCTGGCCATTTCATTGCTTCATATGATTTTGACAGGATTGTGGGATTAAATAATATGGCCGAGGGCATTTTCAGTCATTGAATATTCAATAAAATGTTTTTTGCTGCTTTACTTACAGGAACAATTTTATCAGCAGTTTCCCTAATTCGGGGAAATTTGTCAGCAGCTCAAAAAGGTAAGTGATGCAGTGCATCTTTTGTTTTTTCTATGTTTATCTCAATTCATCCATTTCATTAGTTCCATCCTTAGTGTATGTATTCCTAAACTTCTAAAACTCAATTTTTCCCCTACCCTGTTTTAAAACTCAATCTTTGCATTCCTTGGACCCAACCCTAATCTTATAGCTACCCTGGGTGGATCCATTTCCTTATCTGACTTTGGCATTTTGAGTCGTGAACTTGTGAGCCACTATAAAGGGGTGGTTTGGGGACATGCGTACTACCAAAGATAGTATTTGGTACTACCCCAGATAGTATTTGAAATTTTGACTCTTGGCAGAGATATTGTCTGCATTTTGAAGGTTTTATTTAGAAAAATCTTGGCCGTACCTCGGCTCAATAAATGAATTCATGAACTTTTCCCAGTTTTCATTTTTATTGTGAAAAATAATTCTCTTCTTTGGATATCTCTGGACAGAGAAAGCTTTATTTATGCTCTATCTTTGCATTGTTGCAACTAACAGAAAAATTATGTTAAGTCTTCTGTTTTTTACTCAAGATGTTGTACACATTGTGACATTAAACAAGCTAGAAGGGGATGCTTATACACCTTTTCGATGAAAGCAATGAGTTCTGTGTTATACATGTAATTTATTAAAGTAAAAACTAGCATTACAATAAACCATATATTTAATTTTTCCTTCAGGACACAAACTTTATAGTACTTTTATAATTCTTATCATCAAAACACAGAAGTATTTGAATAACATGATAAAGATGCAACTTTAATAAAAAGTACTTATGCAATGCAATGCCATGTTAATTTCATAAATTTTACTGAATTATTGATTTATAGCTCTTCAATACATACAACACAATTTGCAAGCAAAGCACTGCAATATATATCCAAAAATATGCAGTGTCTGTTTTGGCAAAAACAAACAATCAATTGGAAATGTATTCTTCCTCTGGGACTCGTTGAGCACATTTCTTCTTATGAAGTAGTACATACAAAGACACAATAATTTATCTCCAATGTCCAAAATTCTACATCTTTTTGTGTCATCTTTATGATTTTATCTCATCTTGTATAATGCATTCATAATGATTCCACCGCTTTTTTTGACCTCTTTGGAAACTGCAATATTATCAAAATGCTAGAATATATCTTTTATGTGAATAAGATGGCTTTTTGATGCATAAATGATTATATTAAGAAATGTTGTTTGTCATTAAATGATCATGGTTGCGCAGTTAATTGAGTATTGAGTTTGTAAAAACAATTTAGAAACAAATAAGAATGTGAAAAATGGTTTTACTATTTCAAATTATTTTATTTTAACAACGGTAGATTTAATTTACATATTAACTGCATCTGTTTTCTCTCTTCTGCAGAGGTTTTTGAAGTAAACTGTCATTTCTGATCATTACAACGTTATCATCAACTAAACTGCTGACGTTGAAGTGCTTTATTTTTACTGGCAACTATGGGATGTTGCATTTGCTTTTGGGTTTGTTACTTAATTAAGCAGGGGAAGGGGGGCTAATAATATTCATATGTGCGCAAGCTTCTGTATTGTTTTGTATTGAAATCAATCATTATTACAGATTGTACAATATTAATATATAAACATAGCGCCTTTATTTATCAAGCTTTGGCTGCCCTTGTATTGAAGATACTTGTATCTTCTGAACCACAATCTTCTGTTTTGTTCGTTGATGCTCTATCGCATTATGTCTCTATTGAATACAGTACCTGGTATGCTTCATTTAATGTTTGCTGTTTGTTTTATTCACATAATCAGTTGTACAAAGTTATATTCCTAGGCAATATTTTGTATTGGTCTCTGCCCAAAGATAAATCTATTTCCATTGGTGCACCCCAGTACAGATGATGTAATATGATGATCACAGTATTCGCAACTCCCATTTCTATTATGCTAATTGCCCTTAACATAATACTTAGGCACTTTGAAATGCACGATGGTTGATATAATTTTCAAAGTCTACTATTCTTGCAGTAGGTAATACAGGTTGGTGATGTTGAATGAAAATTTCGCAGCAGCTGCCTAGCCATGTGGATTGGGCATGCCATGAAACTTCAAGCATGAGAGTAAAAAATTCTGAAGATTCCATTTTATAATATATTTCATAAAAGTATTGAAATGGCGTGTTTAATATGCAAGAAAACATTTTGTTTGAATATTATAGCTAAAATTTTAAAACATAGTAAATGTCAACCACCAATTTTCATCGTCTTGTTTATTAGCCTGCAATAAAAAAGGGCATATTAATTCCGATATTTGTTTAAAATATTTGATACAAAGGGTGGAAGAAAAATCACGAACAATTTGTGTAAATCATATTGGATTATGCAACTCATTGGTCTGTTTACTATACACAGTTCATGGAAGACTACGAATGTTCTCGAATCTTCTCTAGCTTATCTACACTGTCGAGATTAGAGTGCACCCTCGCTGTCGCTCGTTTGATATGAATAATATCCATATTTCATGTAGATTGTTCCAAAAGCGAATGTTCGACGAAATTTTAGCACCATTGGTTGCACTTCCTTGATTTGGGTGAAGGATAATTGTTGCCTGCTGCAATTTTTTATGAGTATTTTTCGGCAATATTTTTCATTCCATAAACTCTAACTATATTTTCGATCTAAAATAAGTGTTGCCTATTGAAATTTAAAACTATAAAAGGAGGTACGGTGTGTACATGTGTGTAGCGTGGTAAATGTGTTGTCACAAAATAAACATAATTCAAAAAGTAATACATATTTAAGTAATTTACATCAAACTTTAAAAACTGCTTAAGTTTTCAAAAATGTGCTTCATGCTCACTGTTTGCTGTAGCACGAATCATACACTTGCCGAATGTCAACACTTTGCTTGTCACGTTAAAGGTCGCGTGCTCAAATCATAGAAACTCAGGTCCTTTGTCACTCGACCGATAAATCTGAAAGCACATGACTTGTAATGATTTTACATGGAAGCGTCATTGGTATTTCTATTTTTGGAGAAACGGTAGTGTACTTTTGTTATTTTTTTAATAATATTTTGAAAATACTAAATTTCTGACGATTTTCGCACATTGCAAGGGAGTGTGAGTATATCATTGTGTACAATGTATTTTCTGCTCATTTCTGAAACGTATCATATAACATGTCTGATTTTTAATGTCTTTCTAACATTATTTAAATCAAGTGCGGATCTAGGGTATGTCAAATCAGTCTCGCGATGTTTATAGTTCAGAAATTACTTATCAAATTTAACGATTAAAATTTTTTGCGATCATTAAATTTCTGATGTATAATCGTTTGAATTTCACTGTCAAAATTCTGTTTTATATCTGAAATCTTACGTAAATATCACGTTAGCAAACAGATCACCAGATTTTAACATATCTGGAATTATATTAACTGACCGATAAGCGTGGTGGCTCGACTGGTTCGACCGATAATGGAGTTCAAGAACGGCTAATTAAAACCATTCCATTTGTCAATAGCCAGATCAGTGGACGATCTGGAATAATGTCAATCAATAAGAGGAGTGGCCGGACCGATAAGGGTGTCTAATTGCTCTCGTGTAAAGCCCGCCGCACACTGGAGGAACTTGCCTACGCCAAGTGTCATTCGTGATACTTGGCGTAAGCACTTTCCTCTAGTGTGCGGTGCCATTTGGAGCGCTTTTTGTCACGCGTGTCACTTGCATCTGATATTCAACATGTTGAATAATTTTTGCCACGAGTGATACTTTACTCAAAGTGTGCGGTGAACGAAAGCTTCTAGCTTACAGCTTCAATCTAATACGCATGCGTTGTGTGCACTCTGATACAACAAAACACACATGGCGGCAAGCCCCAGCTCTACCAGTGCAGTTGTTGCCGAAGCAATTTTGGAAGACCAAATCGCTGATTTGTGGCCTGAATACCCATGCCTATACGATGTTAGGTCACCAGAGTTTAAAAATAGAGAAATGAGAGAGCGTGCTTTGGAAGAATTGGCTGAAAAATTGGGTCAAACTGGTTAGTCAAATTCAATTGAATTTGTTGATTCAACTGTGAAATGTCTTAGTGATTATTAGCGCTTATTTTGCAGTTGCATGGTTAAAATCTAAATTGAAAGCATTACGAAATAGTTACGTGAAAGCCAAGAAACCATCAGCAAGTGGGAGTGCTAGGAAAAATCCTACGAAACGGTCAACGTGGCTGTTGGAGAAATTACAGTTTTTAGCTCCCCACGTGGCTTTTAGGGCGTCTGTTTCCAACTTGGATACGGTATGGAATTTTACACTCAAAGACATGCATAAATCAGTTAAATTCATTTTTCATTGGGTTTAAATACTCTTGAAATATTTATATGTAACTAAAATTTATGACATATCAACAATTCGGTTTTGCCATGGCACTGCTCCATCATTGTTGAAATAAATTGTTAGCAGTTCACGTTGAACTTTTGCACCTCTAGATGTATTATGCACTAATGTACGCTGCATGTCAGTTAAGTTTGGGTCATTCCTCCAAGTTCCAGGTGATATTGTGTGATCTGCATTCTCTTGGTCAACTGCTACGGTATATGTTGCTTTGTTCTTGTTGATCATGTAATTGTGCAAGCAACAGGCAGCTAATATAATATCGGTTATTCTGTCTGGGGTCAGTTTGATAGTGGTTAAAAACACTCGCCATCTATGTGCAAATATGCCAAAAGCATTTTCAACTACCCGGCGTGCCCTTGACAATCTGTAGTTAAAAATGCGCTTTCCTTTTTCTAAGTTACGATGAGGATAAGGTTTCATCAGATTGGTTGACATGGGAAATGCATCATCGCCAACAATGTGACAATGTATTTTTGTTGCTATCCCTTGTACATTTTGTGGAGAGGGAAGATTTAAAATGTTGGATGATAATGCCCTTTTCAATGCAGAATCTCTGAATACTCCAGCATCCCCAGAACGACCTGCTGCTCCAACATCCACATAAATGAACTTGTAATTAGCATCAACAAGGGCCAAGAGAATAACACTGAAGTAATGTTTGTAATTAAAAAACTCTGATCCACTTGCAGTAGGTTGCTGGATACTAATATGTTTTCCATTTATGGCACCTATGCAGCATGGGTAGTTCCACTTGCTTTCAAAGTCACCAACAATTTTCAACCAATCTTCTTTGCAAGGAGTCTAAAAATGAACAATCTTTTTGTTTAGGTGTCATGTACAACACCTACATCAGATCTCAGCACTGTAGAGCTTGATGACAGCATTGAAGATGACAATTTCTCAATTGAAAATGAATCATGGGAAAACAATGATACTGACACAATTGAAATAGTAAAGTCAACAAAAGAACCACTCAAATCCAGGCAAATTAACACACAAAAGAGGCAAGCTGATCACGAATATTCCTTGATAAAAATCTTTCTGATTCAATTTCTCAAAGAAACAAGAAACCCAAACCTGATGAAACTTCAAAACAATATGATGCATTTGGAAAATATGTATCTCAAGCACTATCAGATTTGGACAGTGCAACACGTCATCTGGCCCAACATCAAATAAACAATATTATATTCCAGGCTCAAACTGAAATGCTAACTCAGGATTCACAACAAGCAGTGGTGGTACAACCGCAATACAACCAATTTCGGCCCATACAATCATATCACATTCCCTCGACAAACAACTATCCCACATCTCCATTCAACTAAGCAAGTCCTCCGCTACATAATTCCTTACGAGAAGAATCAACTATATTTAATCAAAATAGGTGGTCGTCAAACTGACAGATGATGATGTGGCTTGAAGTATAGTCAAACAGTTCATTGCACATTTATTAAATAAAACATGTTCAGATAAACCTTCAAATATTCTTCTTTTAATATGGCATACAATGCTTTGCAAGTGTCTTCTACAATCCCAGAGATAGTCCTTTCTCCTATTCGGTACTGGAAGGACAAGCTTCTGAAAGATTCTCCTAGGCATGTTTTAATAACAATACATTATACCCTGGCTGCTTCATAGGATGCATTATAACACTACTTTAGCATTAATGAACCCATCAACACATTAGAAAACCTACTCAACAAGTGAATGAATAATGCGACATAAAATCCTTCCACTCCTCCTTTCAAAGGTAACAAATCTGCTCAAAAGCAGAAAGTCATACCCTGCAAGTCTGTGGTTTGTCAAAAGGTGAAAGGATACTTAAATTGTTTTTAAGTTTAGACATACCTGTTGCAAGAAAGCGTAAAGTTACTGACAAACGCTCAGAAGGATTAATCGAAGCTCGCAGTTGTGTATCTTTTTCTCAATATGTGGCGACACTATACCTAAAATCTCCTCAAACGAACGTCGTTCAACCCTATGATATTGCCTAAATTTTTCTGGGTCTTCTACATTGATCTCACGAATAAGATTGGCGAATGCCCCTTGAGACTCACGACGTAAAATCCACTTCTTCGTCCAAATCTTTCGCTTTTTGGCCCTAAGTCGTCTTCGCCGCCGGCGTAATAATAGAAGAAGTAACAATATCTCTTCATCTTCGGATGAATATGAATTTTCTTCGCATGAATCTGAGTCTGAGTCGTACGTTTCGCACGCTGCAGCCGCCATGTTTGTATCAGAGTGCACACAACGCATGCGTATTAGATTGAAGCTGTAAGCTAGAAGCTTTCGTTCACCGCACACTTGGAGTAAAGTATCACTCGTGGCAAAAATTATTCAACATGTTGAATATCAGATGCAAGTGACACGCGTGACAAAAAGCGCTCCAAACGGCACCGCACACTAGAGGAAAGTGCTTACGCCAAGTATCACGAATGACACTTGGCGTAGGCAAGTTCCTCCAGTGTGCGGCGGGCTTAATTGGTTCGTTTAAGGTTTTATCTTACTGTGTAATTGGTTTGACCGATTTTGACTGATAGCCAACTGAGGTAACATTGTCATGCTTACTGTCTGAATTAGTGTTGCCAAATCGTGAACACTGTTCACAGATTTGTGAACTTTTTGCTCTCTTCATGAACATTTTATGAATGTTAAAAGTTTGTAAACTTTTTGTGAACTTTTCTAAATATTACGTATTTTTGTATTTTCATCATTTTCATAAAGAATGTATAGATAAATTATAGTTCAATGAAAAAAAATCTTCATAGCTCGACAGTTCTTTCAAAACAACAACGATTTTAAGATAATCCGATGTTTTTCGAATATTTCCGAGGGTTTTCGAAAATGTCCGAGGTTTTCCGAAAATGTCCGAGTTAATCCGTTAACTTCCGATCTTAAAAATTAGATATAATATGAACTTTTTGCAATTTTTGTGAACTTTGACCATAGATATAGTAGGTCTATATAGACCTACTATATCTATGACTTTGACGCAGGCGAGCATGAATATTTTAAAATTTCATCTGGCAACACTGGTCTGAATTGTATGTTTGATCGCTTCATAGTAATTTGGTAAAGCATGATAGAAACTATAATCAGCGCCACCGCAGAAATTTGGGAAAATCTTTTACAAATTCACATATTGACATGAATGCTGCTGTCCAGATTGCGATTTTTTTCAAGAGGGTGAAAAATTTATGAATGAATTGTAAATGTTCGGGCAAAGACGCGAGAGACATTTCAGTCATTGATGTTCAAAAGCAAGCCATCATTTTGTTAGAGATTTCTCAGCAGAAATTTACATCCAAAATCGTAAGTAAAGGACAACTGAAGTGTATGCATAAATGTAAAATATCAAAGTCAATTTATTCGAGTGTGTGATGCGATTTATGTCAATATGGCGTATGGTAAGCAGATTGATGCTTCTAAAATTGTTGTTGCCGAAGGACTTTTCGCTATATGGCCAAGTATTTCACGGCCGTTATATGGCCAAGTATTTCAATGGAAAAAATCTGTAGCCATAAGGTGTCATGTTATTATATACCTTATTATAAACAAATGTTTTGGCTTTTCAGTTTATGATCATTGATCATTCAATCATTGGACAATTATACTACACATTGTTTAAGATTTGAGAAAACTAACATTGATTACATGATAGACTGTTTACTATAACTTGTGATTATGACTCTTTCTGATCCATGAAGCTTTTTATTTTGACAATTTGACTGGGATAGTATTAAACCTGAGCTATTTCACATACATGAAATGTTGTCCCATGTCACATATTGTCCCCTTTTCTAACTGAACACCACATGTATAGATGTCAAGGTGTGTTGATCTACGGCTCATACCAGATTGTTTGCCATAAATTCCAAAGGGCTGTTGATGTATGAAAAGCCTTTTCTATAAAGTAAAGATGTGTTCCTAGGTATGCAGATAAGCCTTGAAATTTGGCAAAACAGCCAAGTATTTTCATGATCACTAGGTAATTTTTCGATGATTTTATAATTTTTAAACTAAATTATTTCAGATTTACATTTTAACTAGTTTTGATTCTATGAAAAGATATCATAACCAGTAAGCTTGACACATGAACCAATTTTAACATTCATGTAATTACATGATTAAAGACATGCTGGTTACATTCTGTTTTATTAGCAAGTACAATGCTACTGGTAATTGCTATATAGCAAAACCTGCATGGACTTACAGAAAATAATAGTCTACTGAAAGAATTTATAAACTTTAATGGCATTAAGCTGTCCTTAATTGCAAAATTTCTTCTCTGATACTTATTGTTTAATCTTTGGCAGAAAAAAATTTTGAATTTTTTCTCAAAAGGTGAATTTTCTGCCACTGTAAGTGGAAATGGGTTAAGGGTTCAATAAACTTGCATGGTTTGAAGTCTGAGCTTTTTTACATTCATGGACTGACCCTTGTAGTACCTCACTCCTAACTTAAATCATTACATAGAGGTTAATGGGGGGTCTATGCCTGACAATTTGGTAGAAATTTTTAAAGACTATCTCTGTTTTGAAATAGCATTGTTGTAAAGTAAATTTTATGCTCCTAAGCATGCTAATGAGCTTTAACATTTGGCAAAACATTCATGTATTGTTCACTTTACAGTTTTTTGAAAAACAATGTCCACATGAAGCATTTTGTATTGCTCTAAAATGCTGAAAATGGCATTCCCAAGGCTTTGAAATTCAAAATTTCTCACTCTTCCTAGCTTGGCTACTTGTTGCGAATTTTCCTGTAAAGTATTAATACATAAAGGAATTGAGAAAAAAGCAATTATGATTTGTGTTCTATGGAGCACACTTCAAAAATATTTCCCACTAGGCTACCTATGCTATAAGTAACAGAATTTAACATAAAAGCCCATCATGACACAATGACATCCAAAACGTCTTATCGAAATCAAAGCACCCCATGTCCCCCATAAAATCATTCTTGATCCATCCCTGTCTTGAAGTGAATGCACTAAATTTATCCCCAGTTTCACATTTCACATTTTGTGTATTTTTAAGGTGCAAAGAAAGATTGATTCCTTCTGTTTTCTAACTCAATCACTAAACTTGTAAGATACAGCCAGGACTCAAGTGGTAAGTTACCTTTTCTATTCTATGCATACTATTAAGTCAAGTTAATCTTGCAATAGAATGAATAAAACATCACCCAGATTGTAAAATTTGAATGCATGATTAGGCACCATACCACTATCATACATAAGTCTACATACGTAAAATATTCTGGCATTGGCTAGATTTGTGAGCAAAAAAATTTTATTCGTGACCATGGTATCAGGGTGTATGTACAGAGAACATGTTCATTTGAAATGTGGGTGTCCATCTATTATAGGAAAAACACCTGCACTTTTAGCTTCTTGCCTTTAAGGTAAAGGATGTTTGAATGCCATGTATTTACAGGCATCATGGTGAAAACCATTACATAATTTATTTGTTTCGTGTGTTCATCCTTAAAATGGACATTAATGCCACAGAATATTTACATACAGGTCATTTCTAGTGATTTTTGTGATTTGCATTTGTCGAGTGGCAATTTTCTTTGCTGAGTGTCTATGAATCATGTACAGTGTTAACATAAAAGTCACTCAAAGTTAAATTGAGATAATTGAATGTAACTATAGCAGAAGATAGTCAGTATTAACCAGTCAACCAACAATCAAACAAACCATGACTTTCCATTTAAACTGTGACCAAAGGTAGGGGGATGGGTGGTTAAGGACGTTGAAGCCTCCGAAATTATTAAGATGGAGGTGCCAAGACCCCCCTCCCATTATTCAATTGTTCATTGTTACAAAGAGCTTTTCAATGTTTTTTTCTGAAATAAGTTCCTGTTCGATATTGACATATAAATGGCCTCTCATACTGTCTGTCTCTCTCATACAGAATGACCTAATGAAGCCGAAACTTTGCTTAATAGTCTGAATGCCAAGCGCCTGCTACGACGTTTCTTGTTATTTGCTACACCGCTCTATACAAAACGTGTTCTGCTGTCACTGACTGTGACAGCAAAAGCTCTTATTGTTGGTACAATAGCGTTGAGAAAGTAGAAAATAAAGGAAAAAGCAAAAAAATCAAGACATCTAAACATCTTTCAAAATCCTGATCACGTAAGGTTCATTTGCCCAAACGTCTGTCTTATTTTTCAATAAACTGCAGGTGGTTTTCCCTTTTCTTCGGTATTTAAAGAAACGTGGTGTTTGTGTTTATTTTTCGGTATGCTAGTTACGTGTTTTAAACTTTTTTTCTTTGAAAACAGATTTTGACTTTGTTAGCGATTCCTGGAATCAAGATCCGTGATGAAGATCGAGACACAATCCCTGCGAAGTATATATGTACTTACTGTCATCCCCTTCTCATCAATCCAATGCAGACCATGTGTGGACATTTGTTTTGTAAGTCTTGTATGGACATTATTCTTGGGTAACGTCATTTTTTATGTAACAAATCATCTATAAAAAGTTATAGTAGTTGTCATACATGCTCTTTCAATAGACGCCCTGATTATGCATCCCAATATCGTATCACATATACCAATGTATTCATGCGTCTCGTCTTGTTCAATTAAGTCGGTGCCTAGCTGGTAGGGCGTCAAAATTGTTTATTAAATGTCTTGACACGACTTTGGTTACACACTGTTGCGTAGCTAGCCTCTACGACTAGGAGGCTCATACTCATGTTATTACAATACTAAATAGCAACTGCTTTCCTAGGAATTCGTTAGAACATGCATGTACAAATATTGACTTCCTTCCTCCATCTGTCGAACTGGCTACGCCATGTGCACTCTTCAAAATTGATCAATCTTGTTAGTAGTTTTTATCTTTTTTCAATCTGTAGAAATCCTGATTTAAAATGTCCTGAAGATAAAGAAAATTTGACCAAGGAA